AGTTTTTTGGATGCTAGATTTGTTTATTTCCGTAAAAAAAACTTCTTTTAGAATTAACAAAGGCAAGGAAGTATCCAGTATCGAGGAAAAGTCTGGAGTTGTTGCTGGAGAAGACGGCACTAAGAAGGTAAAACAGCTTCTGCTTGTTTGTTTCCAGCGTTTTTTACTTTACTGAGAGCTTTCGTGATCTTCCTTCAGTATTTCACATTGGATCATTATTCTATTGTAGAAATTGACGTCGAAGCGTCGACACAAGTCTTCCACTAGCTATTCCGAAAGTTCAGTCTCCACGGATTCGTCACTGATGACTTCTGGCTCTGACGACAGCGGATCTTCTTCAGAGTCAGATAGTGATTCTGATTCGAGCGCGGAGTCAACGAGTTCCAATTCTAGTAGTGGCACCAGTTCTTCAGAGTCATCCTCAGTGAGCGAATTATCAGAACGTCAACACAAGCATGTATCTTCGAGTGATCTGAAGGAACGTGAGAAGGATTACTCAAGGTAGTATTTTTCACATTTCTTTATTGTGTCATAGTTCATCTGCTTCTGGTCCAACTTGATATTATAACCTTTTCTCCCAGATTTGTTTCCTTGATTTTATGGTTGTTTTTAAGGCGAAGAGAGGGGAGTTTGGAAAGCGATCGAGCGAAGAAGTCATCAGGTTCAAAAAAAAAACCCAAATGCGAAGATTCTGTTGAGAATGAAATCCGTGAGTCGAAGGCATCAAAGGATAGTCAAATGAGCTCAGATTTAAAGGGCGAACGGGATAAGAAACGTCGTAATGAAGCTGCTCAAGAACTGACGGTAAAGCAAGAAGTTGTTTCAGGAAAGGAATCAGCGGTTTTGTACACTGAAAAAGCTCAAAAACCGAAGGATTTTGTTAAGGATGGTGCTGGAGTTGCTGAGAAGAAAGAGTCTAACTCAGTGCCTGACGAGTCGAAGACGCTAAGGAACAGTGAGGAGAGGTATGTCAGAGCAAGTTCTTCCGAGAATCCAAAGCGCAGTAGACTACGAAGCAGCAGCTCTGACGGAGACAGTCGAGCTAAATCGCCGAAAAACTCTTCAAACGAGGAGTCGCGTCATAGGAGACGCCGTAAACGCGATGATTCAATAGAAAGTGGTAAACGGCATAAAAATCATGGGGATTCTGAGAGGGGGCATGAACGGAAACGTCGGTATAGTCATGACTCTGATGGGTATAGTCGTCGTAAGAGGTATCGGAAGAGTGATAGTGACGATAGCAGGGGTCGTGGCCGTCATGGAGATACATCAGATGAGCGGGGAGTGCGTAGTGGCGATTCGGATAGTGAGTCAGGAACTCGACATCGACATAGTCGTAGTAGTTATAAAAGGAACGACGGACGTCGGCGAAGCCGTTCAGGGGAGAATCGCTGGGACCTCAAGCATACTGATAGCGAGTCCAACGAGGGTAGAAGGAGAAATAGTTACCATAGGGACAGTTCTGATAGCAGGACTCGCTTGAGGCGCCATGGTGGTGTAAGTAGTGCTTCTCCTGGGCGGAGTCGTGGAGAGGACCGGAACAGAGTTAAAAGTTTTAAAAGTCTAGATGAGAAGTCTAGCAGACGATCTAGTTCTAAAGAGGTTCCGAGTCTAAAGCGGAAAGGCCACAAAAAAGGACGTGACCAGAAAAGCCCACATAAATCCGATTACGACGATGACAGTAAACGTGAAAAAGTGTCGAGGTCGAAAGAGGATAAGAAGACAGATAAAAACAAAAGGGGGAAGTCCAGTAGCGACTCGTCTTCTGAAAGCAGTTCTTCTAGCAGTACTGAAAGCAGTTCCAGTAGTAGCAGTACCAGTCGTAAGAGGAATGACAGTCGTCATAAACGTCGCAAAAACTGAGGGGGAAGACTCTGTAAGGGTTGTTCTTTAAATTGAATTTTTTTTTTCGTGTGGTAGAAAGATTTTATTCTTGTCTGTTATTTCTTGGAGAAATTTTTTGAATGCAATTTTTTTTCAGAAGCAGTTGTTTACATTTTGATGGAGTTTTCTTCCATTTTTTTCATTGCCTTTCATGTGCTTACTGAACACTGGATGATTTTTTTCAAGTTATTAGACAAAGAAGGCTGTTTCATTAGTATTGTTGTTTGATTTGTTTTGTCAGCAGTAGTTGTATCTTATCAAACTAATGAGTAGTTGGATAATTTTTGGCAGGAATCACTTCGATTAGTTTCAGTGGAGAAGTAGCGTTCTGTTAGTTGATTTCCTTTATCACTGTGGTGCAGTTCGCAGTTTTACCGTTACAATGAATTTTCCTTTTTATGCTTCAAATGCAGCAGTTTTATGATTGCCATTTTTCTTGTATGGACAAACTTGGTTGCTGCACTTGTGTTAGTTTATCTCTTCCATGAGCGCTTCGCAGCTTCTTGAAATAATTTTTTTTACGGACAACGGGTTGTAGTAATATCTTTCTAGCCAGGGATTGATCGAAAATGTTTTTTAATTTATGATACTTCTCTATTCTGTTGGTGGGAATATTTGTTAGTGCAGCTCTGTTTTTTCTTATTTTTTTATTTTTGCTTGATTTTGGCTAGGTAGGTCAGGAGGATTATTTTTTTGCCTGATGTGTATATAATACAAACTTCATATAGACGGTTGGCTGCAGATGTAGTTTTCGGAAAACTTAGGTCGAGAATGAAATGTATTTAGCGTTTGTACAAGAAGGCCTATAATGAAACACAGCAGATTCGTTTTTTTCTTAAGGGAAAGCTCTTTGGAAGGGAGGACGAAATCATGCAAACAGTTTTTGATTAGTGGATGAAAAAAAAGGCTCCTGTGTTATTCCTCGGCATTTTTCAAGAAGATGCTTCATTAAGTCATTGTTCTGTTGAAGCTTTATATCCTGTATTGCGTGGCCATTTGGCAGATTTGTTTTTGCGTCTTAAAAGCTTTGAATGCTGAGTTGACTTTTATTTATGCGTAAGTTGCTATTATTTTCCTTCAGGCTTTGTTCAGTTTTTGTTGTCTATTTATCTTTGGATCTGTTTGTTTTGGGTGGCATTCTTGTCGAATATGGTAATAAGGAGTTTCTAACCAGGTTTTCGTTGAGTTATTTTTTCATATAGTAATTATTTCAGCTGGTTTTTCAAATATGACTTTTTTAATATAGTTCCTCTTGGAATTTTTGTTTGTAAAGTTTTTGGGATTGTTGTGGAAGTTATTTTTATACATCTAATGCCATTTTTCGAAACGCAAGTTTTATTCAGTGAAATTAAGTAGCTTTAAAGAACCTGACGCTTGATAAGTGCGTCAGAGTGATAACGAATGCCTTCTGCGTCGTTTCCTCCATCACTAGCTTCTATATCACATATTGTAAGACTTAATAAAGTTTAAAACATCGTTGTTTCCAGCACCTCCAGACTGAAAGGGAACTCTTGTCAAGCTCACGTATTTAAACTCAACAGTTCCCACTGCTACAACACGTGTCGGTGTGACGATATGGCAGTGGTATTCCTTAGGGTATAAAATTAGTGAAGGGAATTGGGAAGTGGTGTAGAAGAACTGCAATCTGAGAGTATTTCGTTCAGGCATTTGTGAAAACGTTGGTATGACAAGTAGATTTCTGACTGAGTGTGGGCCAAGGAGTACTACCGTACCGTTTACGTGTTAAAAAGTTCCAATATTGAAGGTCTTGTGAATGTGGACTTGTGGTACCTATCGCCTTGCTTCTGTTTTTCTCTGCAATTTGAGAAAATTTGGGAGGGAATAATACGAAGAGGAGATAGGAAAAATATTACGCAGTGAGAACTTTTGGTCCTGAAAGTAATTACATTTTCTGGTTTTCGTGTGGGCATTGTTGCAGATACATTTATATGCCTTTATTTGTAGTGAACTAAAAAATGTTATCCAAACCTCGCTTGGATTTAATGTGTACTGCTCTTGTTTTCGAGGTGCTTCAGCTGTACTTTCAAGAGATGATACTGTTTTTCCTAAGGACATTGCAAAGTGTAGACCGCTTTTAAGTCTTTCAGAAAAGATCAGTGTAATCTTTTTAAAATAGCACTTATTACCAAATTCTTGCTTCCCTCAACTTCCTTCACTGTGTTTTCTGACGTAAGTCAAAGGTAACTCTACGGGAGTGATTGAAATTTTTTAAGTGCTCAGATTTACAGCCTATTAACTTTTTGCTCTTCATGAAACTTCCACTTCTCTTTCAGTTTCTGAATCTAAGCTTAGAAGCTCGAACTTTGAATCAGCGTAGCTTTAAGCCTTAACTTGAGTTTGGGTTAGGGCTTAAGTTTGACCTGATCTTAACGTTGTCCTTTATTCAGGCTCAAGCTTTAGTTCAAAGCTTTTGGTTTACGCTCTGGGTTAGCCCTGAGGCTTTAGAAGGAACGAGTTTTTTGAATGTGACTTTTTTTAGAGTACATCTAGACTTGTTTATTCCAAAAACCCATGTTTTTTTTTTTCACTCCTTGGTCTTGCGTGTAACGAAATGATATATCAATATAAATTACCTTGTAACGATTTTGGTTGAAGGTAGTGTAGAATTTTTAATAGTTTTGCCAGTCTGTATTTTGGTCTTTGTTTTTGTTTCCTTTCAGAAAAAATTTTTTTGTCAGATAAAATGAACCACTTATCAAAAATAAATTTCGCCGCTCTGAGAAATATTGAAAGATTAATTTAACAATTATTGCCGCCTGCTTTCTGTTGCCGAATGAACTTTTCGGCAGACTCCATTTGCAGTTTAATTTGCCGCAATGCTTCAACTGTAGCCTTTTTAAGATTAACTCCGCAGCACCCACGATGTCTCAGTGTAAGTGTACGCTCAATATCTTCGTAAATGGAGCCTGATGTTTCTTGCAAAACCCGTCGCATTTCGAGCTGAAAAAGTTACATTTTTCTGCCGCTTCAACTTTTTTTTTTAATTTTTTCAGAACTGTTTCTTAGCACAGGTTTTTTCTAAAGATATTCTTGTCCTCTTTTGAGCAGTTGTTGAAAATTGCCCTACGGTAATCCTAACATTTTTATTTTTTAAACAAAATAAAGACGTTAAACATTTTGTCTCCTATGTAGTTGCTAGTTAAAAAAAGCAAAAAAACAAAATTTGCCAAGATGCTAAAAAGCTTTTGATCTTGCAATCTGATAAAATCTTTAAAAAATTAGACCTGCAGTCTAAAAAATTTTAGTATTTGCTAAGAATTAATGTCAGTTACTAAAATCCACACCTCAGTCCTCTAATAAATCATGAAATTTCTTTTTAAATAAGTGTGAGTGTTCGATTGCTGCGAAGTTTAATTGTAAATTCACCTGGAGTTTGTGGAAAGTAAGTAAGGATTCAACGCGTTTTTCATTAATTTTAGAGTTATCAAGACTTGATCTTGTTATTTTTTCCAAAGTAGTCATTTCTTCATCAAGATGTTCCAGAAAGGGTTGAACTTTTTTCTGAAATAACGATGACTTTATTAGTAAATTGATAATTTCATCACAATTAGGGAGAAGAACTTTGGTTTGAGAACTGTAACTTGTGAATAGCTTTTTAAATTTGGAAAAAAAAAAGCAGAAGACCTGTAACTCATTGAGGATTTCCGATGTATCTTCATTTGCTTTGGCAACGTCTTGAGACAGGTCTGATAACACCTTCACAACCGAATGCAGCTATAAGCAAGAATTAATTTTATCTTCTTTCGGAAAAGAGTTCAAGGATAGTGATCAAAACAGTCAAAATTTTTAGTCTACGCTGAAACGAGCTCGGCAAATGCAAGTACCCTTAAAATTAAGCTGGAAAAAAATGAAACTTTTTTTCCTTTATACATAGTAATTGCTGGGTTTCGCAAATCTGTAAAGGTTTCTACCTCATTTTTCCAACCATGAAAAAGCAAATCACCTTTTTTTTTGAAACCTAAGAAGCTAATCTATGCAGAATTAAAAATATAAAAAATTTTTTTCTATCTTCGCTTATCTCAAGGAGTTGTGTTTTAAGTTTCTCAAAATTTCATTTGATTTATCAATTAGTAATTGATATATAGTATTATTGTTATACCTGATTCTTGGTAATAAAGTCAATGGTTACCGAAAAAATTCATGGAATTTGCACATTTCCTGCTTTCAGTCCAGTGTGCAAAACGCTGAATGAAAAATAAAAACAATTTTTCTGAACATACAACGTCAGAAAATAAACTAAAACTCACATCCACACATTAAGTATAAAAAACTATTTTACGGTGCATTTTTTTACAACTAGAACAGACCATATTTTCACCGCTTAGTAAATTTCCATAGAAAACTGATTGTTTAAATGAATTACGGACAGGGAAATTAAAATACTGATAAAGAAAGCTTTAAAGGTATCTCTTACTGAAACTTCTATCTACAAAAAATTACTGCTGTCTATTAAGCAAAATTTTAAATTTAAGGTAAGAAAAGGTCATAAATGGTCCTAATAAAATCACCTTAGATTAGTGTCTTTCATTTCTAATCATAAATAGTCAGTATAAAACTTTTCAAACTGCTGTTCCACACAGTGATTAGTAAAAGCGTGTGGTGAGGCAGCAAGCACTGAAGTTCTGTAAGCGTTTTGCAGTAAATGATAAGTCTGTGAATAAACCCCTAAAAGATAGAACAGTAAGAAACTATGGGAAACCAACAGGAAAGACTTGAGAGAGTGCGCCTACTTTTTTTTTCAAATAGAGTAATGGTTAGAAGTGTATTATAGCAGTTTCAAACAACTGGAACCCAACATTGGATAGTTTTTAGTACGGTCTAGAATTTAACAACTGTGAGCTTGCGTATTTATTAGGACGACAACAAGGAATGTCGTATTTAAAGATACATGGATCCTTCATGTTTTGATAACATCAGCTGGCAAGACTCGGTTCCTGTTTAAAAAGAAAGGTGAAATGAAACAGAGCTTTTCTCAGAAGTTTCTGTGGATAATAACAAGTTACTACTGGTAATAAGGTACTGTCAAGATGCGGTAATACCAAGAGGGAATACTCGCTGTGAGTAATAATCTCCAGGAGAAGCTAAATTTCGTTATAGAGTAGCCTCCCAAATTCATTCACTTCCATTTGCAAGTGAAGGCTTCAAAAAACCAAGCAAGTTGTAAAAATTTGAGTTTAGAAATAAGGCATTGTTGTTGCATAAAGCATGATAGAATTATAAAAGAATTTATGTCAAAGATCAAAAACGGCCTAAATTACGGCTGTGTCATAAAGTCGAAAGTTTCTAATAGGAGTTTTAGGTGGTCTGAAAGGAACAATAAACAGTTGCTTATTGAGGCTTGGACGAGGCTGGTGAAGAAACCCAAATTGCAATAGGTGCTACTAGTCATCAGCTAAGGGAACAGTAAAAATTCAAGGTTTGGAAAAAGGCGATTACAGAAGATGGAAAAGATGGAAAAGTTGGAAAAGTTGATAACATGAAAAGTTATTCGTATTCTTTAAAGTTTGATATTTCTAAATGATATTTCCAAATAAACAATATCTTGCAGTTCAATTTCTTGCTGTACATTTTTTAACGTACCTTCTAAGTAATTGGCTGTTCAATTGCCAAATAACTTAAAACTGTCTTAAAAATGATTTTCCCTCAAATTTTTAACCATGTGGTAGATCAATTTTGAATAACTATAGGTCTTGAAGTTTGCTGGTCACTGCACATCGTTTTCTTAACTCAAATAAAGTTTAATACGATGAGCTCAACCACATAAATTTTACCATTAAAAGCACTTCAGTCGCAGACGGAATAAAAAAAAATATGAGAATTAAAACCTGAAAGCAGATATGCGAGTAAAGTGACGACATTTGTTCTTTGTTGACTGCATTTAATTCCGACTTTGCAGGTACTTCATCTAAAGGCACTGAATTCTGACCAGTTTGTAGGTCATATATTGCCTGAGACGGCGAGTTTAGTGCACAGTCACTGTAGGGTACATCGTCTAACATTCCTGATGTTTTTTTATTGGCACCTCAAAATACTTGGCATTTAAGGAGAAGGTACCGATTAAAAGAGTGATTTCATAGAACAATTAACAGTTTGGTCTATGAAGTGGAAATTACAACGCCAGCATCAAATTGAGTAAGTGTTTACGTCGACAACGCTTGAAGATTGTTACTTTATAGTTAGCACTATTTATCTTTAGGCAAAAGCAAAAGAAGTTTAAAACCTGGAAAGAGTGTAACCAACAGTCTACTCTCTTATAAAACAAAAAAAAAAAAAAGAAAAAACTAACAAAATTCAAACGGTTTGTCGAGCATTAAAAGAAAAACGAAATGTTTGAAAAAAACTAAAATCAGCTGATGACGAATATTCGTTAACCGTTCTGTTCAGTAAAGATGAATACTCTTCTAACGTAAATGTCACAACTTTTACAGTTAAAAAAAAGTTAATTAATAACCTAGCAAGAAAACTGAAATTTAATGATAAATCTTAATTTGCAATGAATATAAATTATAGTGCTCAGTTCAGCAGGAATCATTACTAGAAATAGTTATACAAAACCTTAACACTCAAAATCTGGTTGAAGTTATACCAGTAACTTCACTGAATGAAAACTTATTTAATATCAACGTTGTTCTATGAGCGACAGAGTTAAAAAGGTTTTATTATACGCAAGAAGAAACAGTAATTGACCTATGATGGTGTATCAAATGTTAAATGACAGCAACTTGAAAAAAATAATATTTCAGTATTATTAGTAGACAACGTTTAATAGAAATTGCACTATGTGGACAATTAGTCGGCAGTGAGTGGGATGATTATTGTTGAACAAATTTGGCTACTGAGGGTTCTGTTGTAACTGTCGCCACTGAACACTGTTAGAAGTGACCGAACGGGTCAGCGTATATATAACAGGAAGAGTGTTGGAAAACGACACAGCAGATACACTGATCCAACGAAAAATTGGCTGCCATCTCATGTCTTTATTTTTATCTTTGAAAAATTAATGCAATTAAAACTCTGTTGATAATCAATGGATTTGTACAAATGCACACATCTTTAGTGCAGTTTATAGATTTTCAATTCATGCATTTTGCTCACGATAATCACGTTTTCATCACCAGCTATAGTAATGTTGTCACCTCAAAAATTTATGATTTTCCAGGAGCTGCTTTAGTTTAATGCTCGCATTTTCCTTAGTGGTTACAATGGAACTCGGCCATATTTATTACAGTTGAAACTTCTTGGCTTGATTGGTTGAAAAGAAAGTGTGACCACTAAGCCGAAAGAACTCTGCCTTCTGTTTACTGCCTCATCTGCATTCAAAAGCCAAACTGTCGCAGAAAGTATTCAAAAAATTTATCAACTTTTAAATGTACCAAATTAAAAAATGTTTTTCTGAACTTCAGTGCGTTTTAATGATTAAATTTAAAACTACTTTTTCTTAGTTTTTTCTTTTTTTTACATAAAGAAATGTTCTCTATACTTGGGATATCAGAATAAAAATTGTGAAATTAGTTCTAAAAATTTTCGAGAAATCTGAATTCACTTAAGAATCCCTGTAAACACAGATTCTTCTTTTTACATCTCGCCTCACAAACGTTGCTCAAAACGCATTGTGAGAAACGAACGTTGTTTTAAAGCTGGACTTATTTGCTGCACCTTTCCAGTGAGTAATCAATTTGGTAAAAGTGAGGTATTCGGTGTTTTAAATAAGAGAATTCAAATCGGCTTCTGGTGGTCTGAAGACTGACACAGTCATAACTTTCGTTCATATTACTGCTTTTTCTGGCAACATTAGATGAGATTGTCATTTTTGCTTATCTCCAACGATAGTGTTCTCATTTTAGGAGACTTTTCAATATGCTAGTTTGACACCTTGCAAAAAAAACTTGTGTCTACTACAAAATCTTTCAAACCTACTTTAAGGGTGAAAGAACAAATGGTTAAATTGTTTTTTCCGAATTCTCACACTGTTCTCTATTTTTCCTTCTGCTGCAACAGTGGCTGAGTTTTGTAATTTTCATTTATTCTTCAAATTCTTTGGGGCCTTTTCAAGAAATATAAAAGTTCAGGTTTTGATGATTTCAGTTATGTATTTAGGCATTTATATATAAATTTGAAATTAGGTAGAAAAGTTGAAATTTGGCGGAACTTTCTTCCCGTTTCTGTTTCACTTTTTTCTACCTTCCCAATAAACCTCAACAAGAGTGATGTAAAAGGTGTGAGCAGTCAGAAAACTGTCAAATGACATTAAAAAAATCCTTCTTGGTAGGTTATCTTGGTAGGTTAGTTGGTCAACATGAAAAAAACACATATATGGAT